CACAGAAACGTGCTAGCTTAAGAGTCTTTCTGTTTTCATTTTTAAGTGGAGTTTAAATCATGTATTTTCTTGTAACTTTATCTTGGAGTATGTTACGTTGTACCGACTTTGACTATCGTCTACATTACGCCAGACACTATTAATAGACTCTTTTTGATTGGGAGTAATGTTTGCTTATTTCAAATCATGTCATTAATTTGTTTGAGAATAAGATTCTTTATTTGGCTGTACCGTCTCATATTCATGTGTACAGTATTCTCATACGAAAACGTTATAAAGAAATRATGTAATGGCAAAGCATTACACCATTACAAACTTGCAAGTCAAGGTTGGTTGAACAAAATCGTTGGCCGCTATTTTCTATTTCAATAATTTTTAAAGGATTAGATAAGTTGTCAATGTAGCAAATTTGGTAAAAAATGATGGGAAATTCATAATGAAAACACTTATTTGGATAAGGACTTCAAATCTACGTTGCACTCAATTCAAAGACTCACCGAATGTTTCATGGTGGCGGCAAATTTGAGCCAAAATTTKCAAGTTGTTAATATACAACCATAAATAATGGTATGCAATGCGCCATTTTCTCTGCCAGGTAAAATGGCAGTTTTAATTTGAAGGTTAAGTTTTAGAATGCAGTTTTATCGGTCTTGTTATTCCTTCTGAATGATTTATACGACCACATTATTTACGGCCACATTCTACTTTCCGTGCGATTTCAAAAATTGCGATGGCTTCMAGATGAACGACCGAAAAGTCATAATGTTACAATTAGGATCTCTCTGAAAAATACAGTTAACTATTTGCTATGGAATGAAAGTAAGAAATCTTTGGTAAACGTTTGAGCACTTTTGCAATGATGCAAAATTTTTGCTCCATATTAAAGAGCTTGGAAGTACTTCGAGAGYGATGTAGACAAACAATGTAAGCAATAACATAGTCGCGMAGTGCATTGTGGTTGACTAGGATTCTTTAATGCTCGACTTATGGATCGCACGTAAGCTATTATTAAAAATTTTTACCAAAAAAAGCTGTAGCTGCATTTTTATATTATGATCTCACTCCTCAGTGAATTCTGTAACCCTGTTATTTTATTTGCTTTTTCAACTTTAATCAAGTTCTTAATTATTTGACTATGTGAAGTTTGTTATCTTTCGAAC